CCCCGCTCCAAAGTTGGCATCCTGTCATAGCTAAATTCTTCTCTGTAACCTTCTTCCCTGGTCATAACACTTCACGAGAGCAATTAAATAATAATAATGCAAATTACAAAGAAAGAGAAAAAATATAATTTAGATCCTTCATATACTCAGATCAATACTCAACTAGGTTTTTTTGTGTATTCAAGACAAAAAAAATAAAAGCAATATCAGGGACTAGACATTTCAAAATACATAAGCTTTCTAACAACTTACTTGCACACCTTATCTAAATTACATCCTACAGCCACAGCTCATAATAGTACAGCAGTATAAGTACCAATAAATTGAAAGTTTGTGTATCTTTGATACCTCAGTCAATTTTTATTTCAAGATCTAAGAACCAGTTTTAGAGGTGTTAGTGCATACCTCAATAATCAAAGCTTTTCTCTTTTTCAACTCTAGGACAGTAAAGATAATCAAGCAGGTTTCAATATAAATTCCATTTTATTTCAACACTTTTTATCAGCTATCTAAAATGACAGACTTCCCTATGATTCTCATGAACATACATACTCACAATAACTCAGCTACAGCAAACTGTTTCTAATTTACCCAGTATCAACCATTTCTCTTGTTCATTTCATCCTTCTTTGTTCACCTCACTGCTTGCCAATCTGTTAAAATACCATGAGGAGTATCTTATATTAGAATTAAGTTACTGCAGATTTTTCAACAGTTAAAAACCTTCGTGCTTACCTTCCACTGAAAAGTTAACTGTCAGTTTAAAACAGCCCTGTGAACACAGCTGCCTGTACACTTTGTGATATTCTCACCGTTCAGTGAGTCATGCCGGCTTTGAAAAGTTCTCCCTTACACTTTGGCTTTCAACAACATCTATTCAGATATGGAACAAAAGCACAGCAAGAACTTCAGTTAAGCCAGGGAACAGGAAAATGCCTCCTGAATTTTAATTAACAGAACACACTAGAAAATGACTGTACTACATCTCATAGGGCTGCTTCCAAATCAGACCAACAAATTAAAAGTTTCATGTCTCTTTCTTACTTGAGCACTACCCCTTACTTAGCATCTTAAATAAAAGCTTCCTCACAGTTTACCACTTTTAGCTATCATAATAGCCAGTGACCGCAATATCTAACAAATGAGTTCTTGTTTCAAAAGAGCAAAATGTACCCAATGTTTTCCTAGAAAAAACTACAGATAAAAGTTCAAGTATTACAGTATAAGATGGGAAGCTCAAAAGTTAGAGGTTAGAAATCTGTCAAGATCGTTATTTTCACTGTAGAACACATCTTCATCTTTTTCCACTGACCCCGGTCTTCTGGAGTGCCCAGATAAACCCCACACATTTCAATCATGCCGTCATTCATACTTACAGAAGACCCAGATGACTAAACAACATATTTTAAACCTAGCAGGCAGCAGTGACATGCAATGGCCAGCGTACATTGGATCCAGTCCTCCTGCTTATTAAGCAATGAAAAGGGGGAAAAAAAAGGACATTTTTATCTTGAAGATGTTGGCACCTTGACAGCTACAGCAATGACAGGGTCTTTTGTCTAAACTTTAAACACTCTTGTAACCAAGACACAATTAAATCTTCAGTATTCTGAAGGGCATCACCTCCAAAGTATGCTAGAAAAACTTTTGAACAGCACAACTTCTCAGTTTGTAGAGACTGTAGATTTTCCTTTTTTTTGTAATGTCAGCCAATACTGAAATAATATTAAAATGTTAGTTATTTTAATAGATTTAAACAGGGGAATTAATACACTATACACAGCAATAGACACATCTGTAAACTGTGCTAGAAAAGAGGGGCAAAAAAGATTGTACAGTCAAGCAGAACTGTCTAAAGTAATTAAGCCCTAATGTTCCTCTGCTCATGGTAGAAACACTGCACAACTATTTCCATTATCTGTAACTTTCCAAAGAATGAGGTTAAATGGAAAATGGGTATTGCTTACCTGACAGTTTTTTTCAGTGAATATGAGGTACTAATTGACACAAATTACCATAGACACAAAACACAATCATATTTTAACCCTTTTGATCAGTTTAGGGAAAAGGTTTGTGGGGTTTTTTTGTTCTGTCTGGGTTTTTTTTACACAAAATTGGTGAGATATTCAGGTCTTTACTTAATCTAATCTCGCTGAACAAAGAGAATTTATAAAGTCCTGTACCACTGACCAGAGCAAGGTTCAAAGCCTGGAACAATTTGTTCACAATTCCAAGTATTTCAGCCAGTATTGCAACTGAAAGTTACCCCTCTCTCAAGCATGGTATTACAGTGTTTTCTCAGCTTATAGTGAAATTCCTCCTACCCCCTTTCTTTCCTGTGCACTTCTCAGTATTTCCCATTTCCATTTTGCACACAGGTTCATTGCATAATTACTGTATCCTCGGCAGCTGGCATCAGCATCAACAAAAAGCACCTAAACTTCAATGTTAAGTTTCTACTCTAAAAATCTCCTGGGGCCCTTATTCTAGGTTCCCTTCATCTCATGTACCTGATTCCAGAAAGTCTCTTTTTCTGTGCAAGACCTGGTAACCAGAACCCAAGTCATTGACTAAGACCTTCTAATGCTATATAAGGTACAAATATGCTGTACAAAGAGATGTCTCCTAATTCTAAAGAATACATAGGAATTTTACACAAGGACTCCAGCAAGCATAAAAATTCCAACAGAACATGAAAAACTTCTGAACAGGATTTACAGATTAAGTGTTTAAATTCTAAGTTAGGCCAAAAAAATTCAAGGGATGACAATTAAATCAAATCATGAGCAGCTATGAATAACCACATACTTCCACCACAAGATTAACCACTGAATAAATTCAGCTGCCTGAAGCAGCTATAGTAGATACTTGGTCTTTTGCCACAGGCTGTGTGCAATGCAAGCATCCCCCACAGTAACCACAAAAGATAAAAAGCAGATCATCAATTATAACTCAAGTGCCAAGGGACAGTGTGACAAAAAGGTACATAAACTTGTCCTACTTTTCCTATCGAAGACTAAGGAGAAAGCACTGTCCTGGGCCAGGTTCCCTAGTTCCGAACAAAGGTTCATACACGTTCCAAAATCTAAATGAAAACCACACCTGAAGCTCTGGTGAAGTTTACATTTAGCATCCTGACCAATTCTTTCATTTTCTGATGAGTTAATAGCGGCAATACACTTGTGTTTTTTCACACAGTATTTAACTACACTACTTTAGCTCACTACCTGTATTCCTTGTTCAGTATTTTCACCTCTTTAAAAAACCAGCTTCCTGATGTAGTTATTTCTCTGAAGCATTCCTCAGTCCATGTTTCCTAGCTCATGTCTTGGGGTATGTACTGAACCAAGATCAAAATGCAGATCAAACAGCTTCAAATTGATTTCTTGCTCTCCTGGAGTAATATTTGCTCCCACAATGTAACACAAACTTCTTTGGATTTAGTCCTTCATGTAAACCATCATCTCCAGAAACACAATCTTTTCATCCACCACATTTTTACCAGCTATGCTCCCCCGCCAACACTCCCACTGGGAACTCAGTGGAAGAAAACAGTAGTTAAAATTCTTTAAATCAATGTATCCAAAAGAGGCTAATACTGTCTCAGTACTTTTCTATAAACAGCACTGACTACAGACACTCAGGTGTTTCTCCTTCCAATGGCATTATATCGTTCAGAATGAGACACTGGAACCTGTGTGCATTTACCAGCAACCTGAATTTATTCTGCTCTAGGACATGAACAGAACTCTGTTAAATCATCTGAAACGCATTCCTAGCCCTTCTTTGCCTAAATAACACTGTGTGAACCATACAACTAGACACTAAAACTGAAGTTTCTGAAGACAACTGCTGCTTTAGTTGCATTACTTAAGCAGTATATTTTGTGATATCAACAAAAAACTACACACTGCTCAACCTCCTGAAAATACCTCCTATAACAGCTTTATATGGCAGCTCCTATCCAAACTACTGGGATGCTGAGCTCATCAACTCAAAAAACTTTGTTTGGTGAAACAGATTTTGTTAAACAAAAGGCAAAGAGACCTTATACAAGATACCTGAACTGCACTGTGTGAAGAGAACTGGTAAAAATATGAACTAAAGAGATAGTAAGCAAGTCAGTAAAATTGTATTTCCTCAGGCACTACAGCAGCTCCTTCATTCACAATATTAAGTCAAAACCACCATTTTTCCTGTTAGGCAAGTTTATCATGTTCTAGAGTTTATTCTATCACTTTGAAACTGGCTGCTACTGAGAGCATCACAATCCATTAATATGCCATTTGCACGTGCATACTCTTCCAACCCATTCCGTTCTACCACACTGGAGGGACTCTATGCCTGGTTTATTCCCAGGGCCACGGAGATCTCTCAGCCAAGGGGACGTGACAGCCTGTCCGTGGCTTCTCTCTGGTCCGGGCATCTCATCACAGAAACGCTGTCATACACTACGACCACAATACATTCGGACAGCACCAAGAGCGAGCAACAGGCTGCACGCACTAGCCTCGTGCGACATCACCTTTACCGTGGCCTCAAGCGTCGCCAACGGATCCTCTGCAGAGGGAGGCCCCTCGCCCCGCGGCGCTCGCTGGGGGCCGCGCTGATGGCTGTACTGAGGGCTGCAGTGGGGGCTGTATTGAGGGCCGAGCTGAGAGCCGCATTGCGGGCTGTGCTGAGGGCCGCACTGAGAGCTGTACTGACACCTTGTACTGAGGGCTGTACTGAGGGCTGCACTGAGAGCTGTACTGACACCTTGTACTGAGGGCTGCACTGGGGGCCGAGCTGGGGCCTCTCCCTGGCGCCGGGTCAGCAGCCCCTGCGCGGCCCCTGGAGCGCCCCCGTGACCCGGAGCGAGCAGCGCCATTGGCCGCAGCAGGGCGGGCTCGAGGCGCCGCCGGAGTAGATTTTGCGCCTCGGCTTCGCGCGCTCTGCGGGTTGTGCCGCATCTCTCAGGCCGTTCTGGGGGCTCTGGTTCTTCGCTAAGGCGCTCCGGGATGCTCTCTCTCCTTTCTAAGGCGCTCTCCTACTTCTGGAGACGCGCAGATGACGAAAATGAGAGATGGGCGACCTCTGGTAGGAATTCCGGGCCGGTTCTGGGTTTGTGGTGCGGCTTCTGAGCCGTGAGGTGTGCTCGTGCCCCACGTGACTGGAGCTGAGTGCAGACCTGTTTACTTAAGAAAGGTTGTAAAGAGAAGATTGAGATTATAAAACATCATTTTGACTACACGGCATGTGAAAGTTTTCTCCTAAGTACCTTTTTGCTGTTTCCTGGGTTGGACAGGTTACATTTGCTGCTGAGAGTATGGAGTGAGGTGTAGGAGTAGTTCCCTGGCAGCCAGGAGGGCCAGCCGTGTCCTAGGGTGCATCAGGCCCAGCATCGTTGGCTGGGTGAGGGAGGGGATTGTCCTGCTCTGCTCTGGGCAGCCTCGCCTCAAGTCCTGGGGGCAGTTTCAGATGCCTCAATATATGAACTACATCAAACCACGATAGTGAGTCTAGTGAAGGCTGAGAAAACGGTGAAAGGTCTCAGGGTGTGACTTAGGAGGAGCAGCTAAGGTCACGCAGCTCGTTTAGCTCGGAGAAAAGAAAGCTGAAGGGAGACCTCATCGCAGACGACGCCTTGGGGGGCGGGGTTCTGGTCTTACCTCCCTGAGGCCCACTCACAGGGACACAAGGACGTGGAAGGGAGCTGCATCAGGGGAAGTTCAAACTGGACTGTGGGGAAAGGCTCCTGAATGGGAGGGTGGTTAGTCCCTGGAACAGGCTTCCAAGTCTCTCAGAGTTTAAGGGGCATCAGGATGAGACGCTGAATCATATTGTTTCGTTTTAGGTAGTCCTGTGAAGAGCAGGGAGTTAGGCCCCCGTCATCCTTACGGGTCTCTTTCAGTCTGAGATATTCTAGGATTTTTAATTTTTTTAAAATGGAGCTTAAAGCATGTTGGTTTTAAAATATAGTTTGTATTTAATTAGCTTTATTAATTTGGTTGATACCATAAACTGCCATAACACTTGAAGGCTTAATTGTGAAAATAATTAGTTGGCAGCTGTTGCTATTTCCAGTTGACCTTTTCATAGAATAGATGTCCTTTTTAGTAGTATTCGTATGTTTTTGCATGGTTCTATAAACAAGTGATTTGGGTCTATGTCAACATTACTCCTTTTGATGCAGATGATAAAGAATTGAAAAGGGTACAAGGAGTAGTGACAAGACTTTGCCATGATTATGGGATGATAGATGACATGATAGTCTTTACGAAGGATGTTGTCACAAAAAACATGCTGCTGGCTGTTGGACAAGAAGTTATTGCCACTGTGGAAGAGGATAAAACATCAGGTGGCCTGAAGGCTGTCAGGGTAAGAGGTGAAGATAAATGTTAGTCTGACTTTCTCCATAAGTACCTTGAGGCTTTATTTTAAAAGTTGCTATAGTTTTAGCCTGACAAGTTCTACAGAATAGGAGAAATTGCAAGCCCTTCACCTAGAGGGGATAAGTTGGGTTTTGTTGATAATGTGATTGTTTCATTCCATCTCCTTTCAAATTATGTTTAATACTGATTCTCTGAATATAGGTGTAGATGTAGTGAATAAGAAACTATTCGTTGAGATAATTGCATCAGAATTTTAGTCACAGCTAACTCCAGATCTGTATAACTTAGTTCTGAGTTTCAGTCGACTTTGTTATTGTTAGCAGAATGGATAAGAAGATCAAAGCAGTTTGATCTTGTGCAAAGTTTGTTCTTTTTCACAGAAGTAATTTATGTTCTTGTCAATAAGAACAAGAATTTCAAAACTTCTTGTTGTAAAAATTAGTAACTTAATGTTAAGGACAGTTAAAAAATGGAGATCTTGCTACCTTTTTTGCCTAACACTTCATTTGCAAACCTATTTCAAGCTTTATTATACCTTGTCATGAAATTTGAGAGGAGTTTTTCTTAGCAGATCATGTTGGAACCAAATGTAGTTTCGTTGATTAAATAAAAACCAAAGAAACAGTTAATGGGAAGACAGTTTTATTATGTGACCCAAAATTAAACATAGAAGGATAATAATTAGGAAGTCTTGTTTCTCCAGTATTACCAGCTCTAGTGCTATCAAAAACCTAGTGTCTTATAAGGTAACCTTATATCTCTTATTTCCTTTTGTTTCTCCTTTTAAAATTGAAATAACTTTATTGTGTAAAAATTAAATATTGTTTGTCCAACAAGCAATATCACTGCTGTTTCATAACATGTTACTCACAGTCAGAAAATTGAGTTTAAATCTTACTTTTTCTTCCTTGTTTTTCTTCTGACTGACAGCTTTCGTCATACTGTGGAAATATTGTCATTGCTCCAAAATACATAAACCTGGTAGCTGAAGAACTACATATGGCTCTACAAAGCAACTAGAATATTTTAGCACTTGTGGCATGTTTAGCTGTATATTCTAGATAATGGTATTTTCAAAAGTACTTTTTTCAAAAGCATGATGATTTTCCCTGTTCCTGTTTGTGAGCCATAATCCTGCAGGCATCTTGGACTGTTGGCAGTGTAGTTTGTGGCTGGGTGAAAAGCTTTTTGAGACAAGGTCGTGTCAAAAGCTGACTATACTCCATAGAAAGTCAAATTCCAAGAGCAGTCCTGATTCAGTAAGCAAGAAGAAAAAGCTAATTTCTTCAAAGTCCGTTCTAAGAACATAAATAAAAACCTAAACTATTCTGTACTTTGTGATGTATTGCCTTACTTTCCATATTGTGGCACAAACTTGAAATACTCTGAACATTTGATAAGAATGGACAACACTATTTGAATTGTACTTGCTTTCCATGGTGAAGAACTAAGTCCCTTTTCAAACCCCTAGTTAGAGGAGAAAATTTAGCTTCCTGACAAGCATAATTATTAACTACTGTGCAAAATGCTGTTTGAATACCAGTACTATCTCCTTCCAAATAACTGAGATACTACCACTTTGGTTTTTAAGTGTTCTAAAAGGTACTCCTCAAATTGCAGACAGGAGTACAAGTTCTGCAGCCTGGACACTGCCACCGTGCAGTTTGGGGCAGAATCTGGATGGCACAGTTCAAACTTCAGTGGTGTCAGTGTGTTTATGTTAATGGCTGTAAGAAAGAATGTGGTCAACCTTGAGTGGCTCTCTGCTCAGTTTACTGTTTCAGCTGCTGTTTGGAGGTGCTGGCCATGTGGTTTGGAAAGATCCTGGCTCAAAAGTCTGGATTTCAGTTTATTTGAGGTCAAGTCCTAATTAAACTCTGCATGGAATGATTATAGGTTCTGTAGCAGCCTTTAAAACCAGGCTGCTACCAGTGGTAGTAGGAAGGCGATTTTGACCTTCCTGTATGAGAAAGATCTTCAGTTTTATTGGTAGAGAAAAATTGAGAAGTATCAAAAGAAAATGTACATTGAGAGTTTTAAGGTGTTTTCTTGTCTTAAAAATAGTTCTTTCAGTCTACAAATTTCTTTCAAGTGTGACTGCATGTGTAGTTTACATGAAATGTAAATTTACTAGTCTTCTGAGGAACAGTTTGCTTATTCGTGTTCTATCCATATGAAGCCATAAAAATCACTTTAGAGAAAGTTTGATATTCTCAGATCTTCCTGGTGAATGGGAAGATACATCTGTCAGACTGGAACATAGTATACATTTTTCTTTAATATTTTTACAGTGAGTTTTCATGTTGTCAAAGAAATATGTAATAACAATTATTTTAATACAATAAAACAGTATTGGCTAAAAAATAAATAGCTATATAAAGTCAACTGTGGTGTTTGCAAACCTCTGAAGTATAGATAGACATAGGCTATTTATTACTATCATAAATGGTAAGCATTATGTTCCACAAAATAAATCATATAAAATTTAGTATGAGACTATACTTTAGATTGGATCAGACTTCAGTAAACTTACATGTGAAGTGGCGATATGAAGAGTCTGTAAGAAGCAGCTCTAGAGGTTTTCTTACTCAAATTACTAAAAAGTTCCAGGGTCAGTCTGAAATACATGTAGTTTATATATATAAATACCATCTTGAAAACATGTTTTTTGTTTTTTGAAACAGTCCTTTTCTGCTTCCAGTTGTGTACAGACATATTGCTGGATATGGTGTTCCTGCCAAATGAAGAAAAATCTTAAGTAGGCCTAGAGCAAGGGATATGTGAGAAAGATTTGAAAAATCAGCATGTAATTATAGCAGTTGTCAGCACTGTAGCATACAGTACTCTTTAAAAGAGAAGTTACTGTTTATTACTTACTCTTTTTGTGTCCAAAAAGTAACAGCTACAGTAATTGTCTAGTAAGAAGCTTTGCCTCCAGAAGCAATTGAAATTTTGTATATTTATTGTAGGAATATATATTTCATTCTAAGTGTCAGCTGTTGAAATGGGGTTATTTTTGTATTAACAGGTGGAAACCATCTGGAATACAACAGAACACTCTGGTCCTACTTTTGATGCATCTGAACTAAATAAGAAAACATTAATTGGCTGTATTACCTCTCTCTCTATGGATGGTGGCTATATTAATCAGAATACTTACTTTGCAATGCAAGATGTCTGGGAAGGTGTGTAGGGATTCTTGTTTCCTCTTTCTTAATATTTTTGTGTATACAATAGAAAAATATCTTCTGATAAACTTGGAGTTGTTGTCCCAAATAAGTTCTAGTAGAATATGTGGTGAAACATATTGAAACAGCCAGACACGGATGAAGAAAGCTGGCTGTTCATTCTCACAGAGCATGACTTGCATTGAACCATAAGTTACATGTAAGCAGGTGTATTTTTCCACTAGCACCTCTTGCATAGTTAGCAATAACCTGCAAAGCAAAGGACTGCAAAGAGAACTTTGGACTCAGTGGGTCTGAATAATGCATTCATAATGCATAATGCATAATGCATTATCAATAATGTTTTGGCTTTTACTTAACTTACACTAATTCTGTAAGGGAGTAGTGTAAATGTTATCAATAGTAATTAACCTCAAGAAATGATCTGTTTTGTATAGATTTCAAACCTTATGAAGGTGACTGGGTGCAAGCAAAATATTATATTAACTCGACAACATGGAAGAGTGAAGCAGTTGCTGTAAGGCCTTTGAGGTATAAACAAGTAAACAAGGTAAATGTTCTGCACAGTGTTTTTGGCAAGAGGAATCCTGGCTGAAGGATTAGGTTTCTAATTGGTTTTGGTTACAAATGTTGGTAGATTTTCTATAATACATCTTTAATTAAAAGATAAAATGTACCAATTCATCCATTTAGAGCGTGCTTCTAAAATAATACGGCGTCTTGAAAATGCATACACATTTTGGGTTGAACAGAAAGAGTAACTAGCTTGTCTATCATGAATTGCTGATTTGAATTCTTACTATTAGTTATAATGAGAATGTGTCATGACAGGGGAATTTATTATGGTTAATTTATTCAAGTGTTTCAGCTTAAAAAAAGCATGGTCCCTTTTTTTTTTTTTTGTTTTAATGAAAGTGTTTGTGCACTCTAGTAATGCATATGCTATACTAGGTTTATGGTTTATTGTCTTTGTCTTAACCCTATATATCAATTGTAAGAAAAAAGTTCTCATTACTGCTAATATGGAAATATAAATTAGATAAGTTGATGTGTCACAAGAAAGGTATCATGGTTAAGTCTAGTGTACATATTGTAGTATGCACTTCAGTGGAACTTAATGCTTATTTGAAGTACTTGTGTTTCTTTATTCTTCTAAATCTGAAGACAAACACAGTGAGTCTGGGTTAGAGCTCTGTGTTTACCTCCTGTGAATAACTGAAATTTCAGAATGCATTTTTATTAATGCTAGATGTGCTGTTTTGTGGGGAAAAATAGGCAATGTTAGTATTAAACAGTATTAAAATTAAATAGTATTAAAAAGATAATATCAAGTAACAGTGAATACAAACTATTACAGGTTTGCATTTCCAGCATCTGTGGAAGAACTGGGACAGTAGATGACAGTATATTTTTCACTTTGGATTCACTGAGACTTCCTGATGGTTACTTACCTCGTAGGCATGATCTAGTGAACACAATCGTGGTGGAGAGCAGTCAGTCCTGTTACATTTGGAGAGCTCTCTGCTTGGTGCCAGTCAGCCAGGATGGGTAATATTATTTTGTTCTCTTTATAGCAGTTAGAGACATGGTGTAGTTATGCAACTTATATTTCATTGCATCTGTTAAGCAATAAATACTGTGAATATTTCCCTCATTGACTAGAAGGCATGATAGACCATTGGAAAAACCAGAGTATGTTGTGATTTGGCCCTTGTTTGGGTTTTTTTCTCTTTTCAGAAGGTGGGAACATGAGTGCTACTAGAGAAGCATAACTAGTAGCAGCTGGACTCAGGGGTATTGCTAGGCGGGGAAGGAGTTTTGCATGCATATTAGAAAAATACCAAGTTCATTGTGCTCCTCCAGTAGGGACTTCACTGTTTAAAACCAAATCACATCAAAACTCATATAAAATTCATGTTTCTTTAATCCATTTTGCTTAAGTTACAGTGATTGTTCAGATTTCTGTCCTAAAAGGAAAAGTTTCATGTTCTAAATAATAGAGATTCCATAGGCTTGCAAATATTGAACTGGGAGGTTCTTCAGGGGCTTCAGATGTTATATGCAGTATGAGGAGGAGCTGGACACACTGCAGAAGAGGTTGGAAAAGGTAGATGATGTTCAGTATGGAGAAGGGGCAAAACTTAAGGGAATAATCAACTACACAAAAGTAAAATGGGCAACTAGTCAATAATGAACCTCAGCGAAATCTGGAATTTGACTTGTGAGTTTGTGTCTGTCCTGCGAAACACACAAATACCGCCTGAATAAACAGATCTGTTAACTGTAAAATCTATCACTTTCCATGCTGAGGTCTTGACAGGATAACATAGTCTAACTCTGCAGGCCAGAAATAAATTGTCAATTGGAAAATCCCGAGGGAGAGCATTCTGATATCCTTCAAACATCATATTTGGGAGATCTCGACGAAATTTAGCCAAGACCAGTATATACATGTTTAAAAGATCTAAAAATAAAGATATAAGATGTTTTTTGCTAGAGATAACAGATATAATAAATTGTACTTAGATGAAACTTGAAGTGTTTTCATCATTTTGCAAAACAATACAAATTGTTCACATCTTTTTTTCAGTTGCACTTATATTTAATGATGGATTTTACACAGAAAATCATTACTAAAGCCAAATTATAAAAGTAGACCTTAGGGTTGATTTCTCAGGTTTAGTGTACATCCTACCATATCAAAAACTGTGCCTTAGGCTGCAGTGAGAGACATCTAGTGGGCTTGGCTAGACAATTGATGTAGCTAATGAAAAGCAGCTCAGGTAACTCAGGAGGTTGTGTACATATTAGTGATGATATTAAAATATTTCTAAATTATTTCCATGCCACTTTATCAAAATTAATAGTTTCTTAATTACAGAATAAAAACCATTTAAAAAATTGTTTCTACAGGCAGAAGACACCAAGGGTTTAGACCTGTGTTCAGTGTTTGAGACAGGAAAGAGTATGTGCCTGGTTTCATAGACATTTTTCATCAGTCCTGTGTGGTAAAAGTTTTCAAGGGTAGTTTTTGGTTTTCAGCTGTTTTGTCCTCAGCTTGCTGATTTCAGATTGGAACAGTAAACAGACACAGGTGCATAGGTTGAAACACTTCCAATCTTCTAATCCAAATTTTATCTCTTGGCTGCAGTGCTAGACCTGATTCTTGCTAAGGAGCTGCTCTTTGTTGTGTCTTTGTTCAGCTCCCAGAGAGAGCCATAATGACTTCACTCACCATTTGATTCAGCTCTTCAGCAGGATTAGTTAACTTCTCAATCATTTTAGTCTTGCATCCAAAGTTTTATGCTGGTTTATTGTGCTGCTGACAAAAGACTTGTTGCTGCTTAAATTAGTTAATCTAATTGTCTTGGAAGTATAAATGGCTGAGAAACAAACAATACGCCTACTTCTTTCTAAATATTGTGACTGTGCCTTAGTTTAGTGTTTCTTAAACTTGTGCTGAATCAAGATATCAAAGATATTTGCTGAGCCTATTAGTGTTTAAAAACTGCTACCTAAAATTATTTTGACAGACAATCTCGCTCTGATGATAATGTGGATGAGCCTTATGAAGACATCATGAGAGACAAAGGAGAGCTGAAAGTATCAAGAATGACTGACTTTGGAACTCTGAAGCAGGGGGAATCTAAAAGAATGATCATTTGGATAGAGTAAGCCTTTCTGATTGTTTGACGATTTCTTTATGTCCATCACACTGCAATCTGTTAACCTGTTTTGCATTCAGAAGCCTCTTCTAGTGGAGCCTTGTGGTTTGTGATCTTCAAGTAACCTCCAGATACTATGGAATTAAAGAGAATTTTACACAATGTAATGTCTCTGTAATGTAGGATAGCCTTTTTGATATTGAATGTTTATCTTGCATATAGTGCTTTGAGACTCCCCAGTCCTGTATCTCTTTTCCATCCTAGTAAAATCCTTCCTAGAACAGGGGTTGAAGTAAAAGCTTTTAGTTGTGTGTTTAACTTAAACTGCAGGTACTCTGCCATCTTCAAAATCTTAGAACAAGAGGATTGTTGCATACCCATGTATTAGAAGCAGACCAGAATTTTTTTTTCTGGTTTGGTTTTTTGTTTGTTTGTTTGTTTGTTTTGTTTTTGGGGGGGTGGTTTTGTTTGTTTTTTGTTTGGTTTGTTTTTTTTGTAAACTTGGATGCTGAAGAGCTATGTTGGTGTATCCTTAAGAGGGTTCTGTTTTGGTAGTGGGGTTTTTTTTGTTTGTTTTTTTGGGGTTTGGTTGGGGTTTCTTGTATGTGTTTTATTGCTCATATGTGAGCATAAATGCTTCAATGAAGACACACTTGCATACCCATTACATGTTGTTCTATGCTCTTTTCTAAGAGTTGGTTACCCAGTGCTGAATTTTGAGCTCCTATTATAGTATCATATAAGCTCCATTATATTATTCGTGGTATTTTTTTATGTTTTATATGGTAATTGATGTGACCTAAAAGTACCACCATAGAAAGCAGAGGTTTTTGTCCTCGTAAGTTAGAAGCAGCAGTGCAATTTCTTGCTGATAGAGGTTATGAAATAAGGGGAGCTAACCTGCTGCAGACAATTGTATTTGACTTCAAGTAGAAATAAACTTCTCAAGAACATTAGCCATGCACTTAATTATGTAACTAATCACATAACTACTTCTAGGAATAAAGGGAGCATACCACAGTCCTTAATCAGCTGCAAATTAGCTGGATGGGTGAAAGACAAGCAATTCAGTGTTGAAATCCCTCAAAAATGTGAGAACAGTCCATATTTTCCAATAAATCAAGAACACCTCTCAAAAGCTGCAGTTAATTCATTTAACAACAGTGGAGGAACAACATGTGAGTCACTGAACCACAAGTCCATCATGAAGAATGGAGCCATTCCAGGTACAGTGAAATGATAACATTTGAATGCTGAATGTTAGTTCCTCAGAAGACCGGTAGGTTTGTTTGAGAAGACTTGCCTATGTTAGCTATAGAAATTGTGATAATAAAATTTATTGTTATACATTTACTACAGAAGGAATTGATTTTCAAGATACAAATTTGTCAAGGACAAAGGAAAACAATTCCTTGGTGAAAGATGAAAATACGCAAAATGGAGATTGTGAGCAAAAAGACCATGTGGAGCAAACAGTTAAGCACACCAATATTAGTCCAGAAATTGTGATACCACCAGGTGAAAAAATATTCATAGTGATTGTATGCACAGCTGTGTAAGTATTCTTTTCCATTATTTCTAACAAATACAATGGCAAGAAGTAATGAAAATAGACTTAGTAGTTCCCTTATTCTGGGCACAGTTCTCTTCTTGGCATGTTGTGCTTTAACCCCAGCTGTCGATTAATCCCCATTCAGCTGCTTGCTCACTCCTTCTAGCAGGATAGTGGGGACAATAGGAAGAGTAAAAGTGAGAAAACTCACAGGTTGAACTTAAGACAGTTTAAAAAGTAAAGCAAAAGGCACTAAGACAAGCAAAGTAAAATAAGGAATTTGTTCACCACTTCTTGTGGGCAGACAGGTATTCAGCCCATCCCCGGGACAGCAGGGCTCTGTCACACATGATGGTGACTAAGGAAATGCCATCACTCAGAATGTCCTCCCTTCTTCCTTCCCCCCAGCTTTATGTACTGAGCATGATGCCCTATGATGTGGAATATTCCTTGGGGCAGTTGGTGTCAGCTGTCCTGGGTGTGTCCCCTTCCAACTCCTTCTGAACCCCCAGACTCCTCACTAGTGGGGTAATATGAGAAGGGGTAAAAGCCTTTTAAACACTGTAAAAATATCCCTATGCTATCACCACTTTTTTCAGTGCAGATCCAAACCAGAGCCCCATATTAGCTATTATGAAGAAAATTAACTCTACCCCAGTCAAAACAGGCACATGGTGTTGTGTAAAGTAAGCCAATACATATTAGCAAATCATCTGGAAACCTATGTTAGCCTTTGAAAGTAGTTAGCATTTCAGTGCTTGATTCTGAATTTTTATTGAAAGAAAGTGGTAGTCGTTAATCAAGCAATATGAGTGGGAGTAGGTAACATTTCTAAAATGACACAGTGAGATGAAGATAATGCCTGCAGATGGATATATACTTTGTAGTAAATCCATTTCTCCATGAGCACTAGCGCTAATGCAGATTTCCTGGGAATTGCTGTGTTACGTCTGATGTGTTTCTTTTAATCTTTAGTATCTCGTATTGCTACATGCCCTGATCTCAAGTTTTCCTGTTCTGTGGTGGGAAATTCAAGTTATGTATGCTGAAATAGGAAAGAAAACTTTCTTCACTGAAGGTGTAATTCACAGAGGAAGTGCTTTGCAAGACCACTTAGAAAACCCTCAAAAAGCACTCAGTTATACAAAATATTTTATTAATTTAGTTAAGAATGGAAAGTGGCTTTGTGGGAGCACTTGCATTCAAGTAGGAGTAGGAACCTTACACACCAAAGGTTCTATTTGTGTACCTTCCACTTGCTTCCAGCTGTAGTTCTGCAGACTTTGTGTTCCACAGACGTTGATTCCTAGGATGGTAAAGTTGGGCAGAGGAAAACAAGGTTTCATTCATTGAAGTAATGCAGCAATAATATTCACACTACTTCTCTTATCATTTTAAATAGTGAAGCAGGAGGCAAAAAATTTCTTAGGCGGATGATTTAGCTCTAGTTTAAAAGACAAAGCTGCAGGCATGGCTTGTCTTCATGGAGATAGACATGTAGAAAGAACGATTTATATTTCACAGTAAATCCATAAAAGCCACAGACTTAGAATCTTCTAATAATACAGAATGATCAGTAGAAAGCTTTGTGGGAGGCTGCAGCATGAATTTAGCAAGTGTTTGCTGGCCAGTTAAGAAACCATAGAGATTGCAGATTTAGATGATAAATTTGGACAGTTTGGTGTCTGTTTTGAGTTTTTAATATCTGAGATAACCAGGCTATAGTTTTAACTTGAGCAGGTAGTGTTAGTTGACAAAAGTTTAAAAAGTGGTTCTCTTGCCAAAGAGAAGGTAAGCTGGAATTTTTCTTGGATGCATTTGTTTCAGACACATGGTAAGCAGTGTTGGACCATGTAGTTAGAGAGCTACACTCTAGTAGTGCTTAAGTTTCTTAGAAACCAATCTGAAGTAACCTTTCCTTCCTGTTTTTTTCCCCATCTGTCACTCTCCAAGCAACAGTTGCACATAAAAAATATGTTTTCCAGAATTAAAGGATTTTTCCTGCTTTCTCCAATTCATGAGTTTACAGTTAGGGTTCAGTTCTGAGTAGCCTTTTGCAAGGTGCTACAAAGCTGTTACTGCAAACAGTGAAGAGATTTGCTTCAGGTTCCTCTGGTGGAGCTGTTTGGCTCTTTTTTTGCACTAGCAGTAATTCCCAGCTGTTCCTTGTAACAGAAGCATTATTTCTGTACCCTGATGTGTTGAGTGGAGAGATTTTGCATTTTACCCAAGGTTTTGATGAAATTGTGGGGTTGAGATTTTTGCTGTGGTTTTGGGTTGGATTTTTTTGGTTGGGTGGGTTTTTTAAATTTATGAAACCTGTATTGAACTGGAGGTAGGGACTGTGATGAATTACCCTAAATTAGCAGTTCTCATATGTAACAAAGCTGAAAACTGAAAAAGAGAATCTATCTCTTGGCTGGGGAAAATGAAGTGTGAAACATGTTGATGTTAAGAAGATAACTTCTGTTTGCTTGAAGGATTCATGGACACAGTAAAGAGCTCTTGTTGCTTGGCTTTCCTGATTTTACTGTTGGCCGCTATATTGAAGCCACTGTAACAAATGAAGAAGAATTACTTATAGCACCTGTAAAACCTTATTCTTCAAGAAAGCCTAAAATTGTTCCAGATTCTCAGCCAAGGAAGACAACAGTGGCTGGTCCTACATACAAAAGGTACTGTCACTTAGAGCATGAAATAATACTTACTTAACATTGCTCTATTTGGGATTGCTGTATCTGTTGTGTAATGCTGAGAAGGAAAATGTGAAACTAGGAGAATATATATATATATATATATATATATATATGTTGTAAACAAGATGGTTGAGGACATTGCTGATAGAGGAGGTTTTTTCAGTAATTAAGCACTTGATTTCTTTTTCTGTTTGATTCTTCAAACAGACTAATGTGTAGTGTGGTAATAAGATAAAACACTGTTCCTTAGTTATCTACTTAGTAACAATTGTGTTATTAAGAAAAAAAGATGGGAAACTGAAAATAATTTCTGAGATAATAAGCTTAATTCTTTACACAACTATTTGACTAATGTCTCCCATCTTTCATTCATTTCATTCATTTTGTTTCCATTAAGCACTAAGCAAATAAGCTTCCATTTTACTTACAGTATTTGCTTAGTTATAAAAATATACCTAAGCTGCAAAAGCAGAAACAGTGTTTTCAAATAATCTGTAGAGCACTTACTACAGAACAGCCGGAGTTGGAAGGAACCCATAAGGGTCATCAAGTCCATCTCCTAGCCCTGCACCAGGAATCACCCCAAGAAATGTACCATATGCCTGAGAGCTTTGTCCAAACACTTCTTGAACTCTGTCAGGCTTGGGGCTGTGACCACTTCCCTGCTCCAGTGCTCTGCCACACTCTGGGTGAAGAATTATTCCTAATACCTAACTTACGGCTCTCCTGACACAGCTTCATGCCATTCCCCGAGGTCCTGTGACTGCAATGAGGTCTTCCCTCAGTCTCCTCCAAGCTGAAAAGAACAAGTGACCTCAGCAGCTCCTCATATGACTTCCCCTCCGTGCCATTCACCATCCGTATGGCGGGATGATCCTCTCCCTCCTTCGCCCAGCTGGGAATGCCATGCCTGATGCGCCCTAGGATACAGTTGGCCCTCCTGGCTGCCAGGTTACTGCTGGCTCATTTTCAACTTGCTATCCACCAGGACCCCCAGCTCCTTTTCTGCAGTGCTGCTTTTCAGTGTCTTGTCTTCCAGTCTCGCTATATGTCCAGGTGGACCAGGTACAGAATCTGGCACTTGTCTTTGTCCAGTGTCATACAGTTGGTGGTTGTCTATCTTTCTAATTTGCATAGGTCTCTCTTCAGTACCTCTATGCATTTGAGGGAGTCATCAGCTCCTCCCAATTTAGTACCATCGGCAGACACCTTCAAATCCTGCATCCAGTCATTTGAAATGTTGAAGAAAACTAGCCCTAAGATGGAGTCCTGCGAAACCCTGCTAGGGACAGGCCACCAGTCAGATGTCACCCCCTCCACTCTAACCCAGTTGCTCACCTATTGCATGATGTATTTATCCAGCTGTGGGCTGGATATTTTGTCCTGAAGGACAAATGATACTGTCAGAGCAGCAGTATCGAAAAACTTTACTGTCTTGTGATGACATCAGCCAGCTCTTTGAGTACTTAGATGAATACCATTAGTTTCCATAGACTTACAGCGATCTAGGAGGAGCAAAAAGTCCTGCAGAAGTTCAGGTTCAACTTGGAGTTCATCGTTCTCAGTCATGACTCTCTAGCTAAGGGCACTGGCACTCCCTTAGCTCTTCATCAGTGTTGAAAACAGAAGCAAAGAAATCATTAAACATCTCTGCCTTGTCTGTGTCCCTGTGTGTGAGGTGATCATCTTCATCCTGTAATGGGCCAATGTTGTTTTTGCAGTGCTTTTTGCTATTGGCTTATTTTTAAAACCTTTTTGTTGTCCCCCACAGTATTGGACAGCTTCATCTTCAATAGAGGTTTGGCCATGTGAATTTTTTCTCTACAGAGTCAAGGAGCATCTTTGTAGAGGGTCTCTTACCTTTCTTCCCAGTATAACAAACTCCTCAGTTGTCCCTTTGAGGGAGTCATTAGTCTGTCCCTCTGTGTGTGTGTATGTGTTTTGGATTTATAGTCTTGGTGATGTGACATGTTAATTAGCTGTTTTTCATATACATTACTAAAGCAAGCAAAATGATATGTCACACATTTTCATTTTAGAAATAAGAGACGGTGGTGTTCAAACTTTCTCCCGCATTATACCATACCAGATGAATTAAGAAAATGTGTTGAACAGCAGTTAGACATACTGACCTTTCAGCCCCTCCTAGCAGAGGTATGTAAGTGTATGTTTTATATGAAAAATATTTTCTGATAACCATGTTTTTGTTCGAGCACCCTTAACTTAGGAAGAATGTGTAGTCCTTAGCGTAAGAGAAGATGACATAACACTTGTCAGGTAGACTTAAACTTCAGTCTGGATCCCATAACTTCCATGAGTTTCAGTATGTTACAGAATCCAAACTTAGAAAACCACAAAAACATAAATGGGAAAATCTGAAAAGAGAGTAGAAGTGTATTGGGGAGGCATCACAGAAGCTGAACAAAGATTTCTCTGTATTCTCACTTTTTAGGCATCACTGGAAAGGGTTTTTTGAGGTGTCAGAAAAGTTGTTATTTCATAGAAAATCACAATCTCTTAAATTATTGCAATAACAGAGGAATCTTTTCTGGTTTTTCAAAATAGTTTTCTTAAGCATCTTCAGATTTAATTCACTATAGCTTGTTCAAATTCTTCCCATAAGTATAGTGGGTTCAGAGTACATATAAAACACCTTCAAAAAAGTTTTAATGTCTTAAGACAATTAAAATGAGTCCTTCTTCAAAACTTTGCTCTGATTTCTGGTAGAACATTGCTACAACTCACTTTATTTTGGTAAATTGTATTTAACTGGGGCTGACACTTTTTTAAAATGTAAAAGGCTATATAGTCTCCTTACTAAACAGCTCACATTCAACTTGAAATCACACCATTAAGCTAGTAGGTTAGAGATCCTCTCTCAAAAAGAAGATAAAGCACTGTAGTGTATATAATAATTTTACATTGAAAGCCTGCCATTAATGATTACTTTTTTTTAACCACACTTCAATCCTAACCTTAGATAGAACTTGGTTCTGTTGGAGAATACCTTTGCAGTAAGATTCATTAAGCTCTGAGGGAGAAAATTCGTGTTCTTTCAGCCTGCCATAAACTGTATGCCATCATATATAATCATCAGCCGGGACTGAGACTGACATGATTCTTCTTCCAGCTGTCTCTGTCCATGTATTTAGATTTTATGCTTTCCAGGCATAAATTGAGCATAGAACTCAGTTTGTAGACGGTCCTTGAATTCAGACGGTGAAACTGCCACTGCAATAAGGGAAGACTTGGTTAATTCTTTAGCTGAGGGGCTATTGTATTTGAGCTCCAAGGACTATACTAATCCTGCTTTGGCTATTAAGGAGATTTAAAATATTACCTAGCGTATGGATGCATGTATTTAAGTATCTTATTTGGCAATCTAGTTGCTGTGCAGTCTGTCTTAAAAAGTGTTTTGTTTAATGTTAGCAATAGTTGGTTCCATATCTTAGTATGACGATAACGTGTACTGTTTTCTTTTTCAGCGTCTTAATCTAGATAATTATAAGGCAAACTTTTCTACTCTTTTATGGCTTGAAGAGATCCAAGCAGAAATGGACATAAAAGATTACTACATGAGTGGGGTTACTTTAAAAAGGAATGGGAACCTGTTAGTGCTGGAAGTGCCAGGAGTAGAAGAGGGCAGACCTCGCCTGGTTCCAGGTAGAAATGAATGTGAGATAAGGTCAAATGGCATGTTGATCTATATTTTCACTACAATGCAAACTGGTTTTTATTCTCTTGTTTAAAGAAGTCTTTCAGATATTTGAGCACAAAGTTACTAATTTAGGCTACTAGACAGGGACTAGAGACAGGGGACACAAGGACACTATGTTAGTGTTTCAGTCTTACAGCGGCTGCTGTCTGAAGCAGCATTGCATATGTCTGTTCATGATGTTTCAATACTTAAGGACTTTTCTTTTACAATAATCAGTGGGGCTTTCAGCAAAAGTAAACTATGCAATGCAGTAATAGCTTAAAAAGCAATAGGTGTAGCAAAGCTGGGAAAGTAGCTAAAATTAAATTCAGAATTTCCAGTAATATAATGTACAATATAGTGTTTTCAAGAGGTGTTGTGTGATGGCATCAATACTAGATGCCTTTTAAAATGTAACATACAACTACATAGGGCATTTCAAAACAGTACTGATGGATACAGCAACCTTGCTGAAGGTAGCCTCTTGAAAATTCCTAGTTTAAACATGCAAAAGAGAAGAAATTACGTGCTGTAGTGAAAATGTTACTATTCCTTGTAACAGTGTTTTGCCTTTTAATTTGGTTTACAATTAGGTGATAAGGTGATATTGAAAAGTCAGATCTACTCAGAGCATATAATAGAGTACATTGCCTATGTTGCTGAGGTAAGCAGTGTCTCTTCTCTTGAAAATACCATGCTCCACAGGTTTTTTACGGGAAGCTTGCAATTTATGGAATTACATACTGGTTTAACCTGTCTTCTGAGAAGATAGGTTTATTTTATAAGATAAGTATAAAATAAATAAATATTATATATAAATATTTTTTTTGAATTATTTTGTATTTTTATTGTATTTTTAAAGAGTCTGCTTTCCTTATTCTTTTAAGATTATAATCTTTACCTGCTCTGAAAGCACTTTTAACATACTGTAGATAGGCAATATGTTGATAGTAGATAAATACATATATATACTTTTTTCAGTTTGTGGGGGATTCAGTGCTTTCAGAGGTGTTTTTTATTATATTTATATTTTATTTATTTATTTATGTATATTATGTTTAAGGTACTAAATCTTTATCAGTATCGTGACTTTTTTTATCTTTGTAACAGATATGTGAAGAAGATGTTACTCTTAAGGTTAATGCAGACTTTGAACGGGCTTACAACTTGGAACCCATGGATGTGGAATTTGTTCATTGCAGGTGTTTTTATAAGCTTCCAGAAAGCTGCATTTAATGATTCCTCTAGTAAAATGACTTCTAAAATATGACCATCAACTGTTTATTTTGGTGGACACAGACAAGGAGATAATTAAGATCATGCCAATTTTTTCACTTCTTTTCCTCAACACACCTTTGCCACTATATTCATGGTTAAAGGACTGTAACTGTACAAGTGTTCAAAGAGTTATTACCTTAATCATTTCTAGGTAGCCACACCGATGTCAGACAGTAAAATGAGGGGGAATGAGGTGGGGTGTTTGGGGGCATTTTTTTAGGTTTTTTGAGGGGTTTTTTATTAAGAAAAAAATGTATTAATACTGCAAGACTATGCAGGAAGTAAAAATAGCTGTTGATAATCTCCCATTCTTTTATATTTTTGTTTTATTCATGGGATGTTCTTACCTGTTTGGAGTTACGTGATCTCTGTAAATTCAGCCTTGCAAAGAAGTTCCTTGAAAATGGTCAACAGCAGGCCATCTTTGTCAATATTACTAATAGCAAAACTGTTTATACTTCTGCAGCATATTTCTCAGTAGATGCTTTTTTTAAAAAATACTTTTTTTTATACAAGACTCTTATTTTTATGCACAGTAAAAAGTACCAGATACTTCATAGGTGTGTGCTGTCATAGTATATGGCAACTTAAGCTTTTACTTTAATCTACAAATCTGTATTTGTTCCAGGATTCCTAGCAGGCGATGCCAGTTGGCCATTCAGCAAGCTCTCTACCTGGGTGAAAAAGGTATATTTTATTTGACTATTAAGCTGTCTAGAGGAGTTTCTTTGTGCAGGGTCTTGTGGGTTTTATTGCTTTTACATTGGGGAATACTGAGAAGAATGCATTTTAATTTGTTCTTACAGGAGTTTTTCGTGTGTTGTTAGGGGCTTTTTGGTTTGGTTTTTAAGAAAAAAAAAGCAGTGCTGAATGTAGAGAAGGTTTTGTCAAAATTATTTCATCTGTTGGCCATCACAGGCAGGAGGACTGGAAGCAAACTTTGTGAGCTATTAGAGCCAACAGGAAATACAGAAATCATACATACTGCTATAATAATAGCCAGTGAAATGGCCATATTTTGTGTTACCTCAGAATTTATTTTAAAATACCGATTCCCTGTTCTGTGGTTGCGTTGAATGATGCATATGAACTTCACATCTTTACCACCTTAGTTCTGATTAACCAGTTTTGGCAGCTCAGACTAAGCTGATGTTTCAACAGTAACATTAATCAGTGAAATATGCAACGTGTTTGTGTGACTTTGAAATTTCTCCACTTTCTTTTTCTCTGCTAAATTTTAAGTGTTATTTCCGGAAAGGCTTGTGTTACAATCACCACAAGTTATCAAGACACCGAATGCTACAGAGCATTTTGCTGTTGATGATGGCCTTAAACAGTCTTCACAGCAGGAAAGTAAGGTATCTAATATGTAAATGTTCCTTAAAATGTTCCTTTATTCAGATTGGCACCAGATACTTACTGTACAGCTATTGCCGGAAAGGAACTGCGTAATGGAGTATCAAAGAATCAAAGTTGTATTCTTCTGCATTCTGATGACAATTTTCGTTTGCTGCCTGGAGATGAGGCATTTTATGATAACTGATACCATAAAGCTAAGAAAATGGAAAGTGCTTATTTAAAAAGTGTGTGATTGTGATGGGAATTGTCAAATTTGCCTTAGACTAGTTTTCATAGCTACTGTTGAGTAGATGGTTAAGTCCAGTCAATGTGCCAGGAAATAATTTTGTAATAGAAGATAATCATCCTGTTCTGAGTAGATTTACCCAGGCTTAACTGCCACTTATATTTTATTAATAAATTGTAGAAATCTTTCTTAGAAAGGACTTTTGGAGGCTGCCTAATTCTTTCCTTTTTGAAGCAGGACTCTCACCAACACTAAATCAAGTCAGCTTGGGGGCATATGGCAGCATTTCCTTATTTTTGTTTAGGGTTTTCACAGCATCTGTATAATCTGTGCTTCATCTCCTTTACACTCAAGATTTTTTCCTAATTCCCTAATTATTTCACCTGCAATTTGTGCTTTACAACAAGGAGTAATCAATCAATCTGGTTTGAAATCAATATTTTTAAGATGATTGAGGCATGATGTCTAGAGCCTTGCCAACACCACATTCCCTACAAGCAGTTTTCTCCCATGCTACAATCTGAAGGGACATGTCCACCAAGTACATGTATCTTTCGTAGTGGTCTGGAATGTTGTGACTGTTTGCTTTTGTGGAAGCAAACAAATTGTATAGTTATGGCTTAAAAGTCCTCATCTGAGCCTACAGAGTATTTGTGAAATAAATGTTTAGTGTTAACAGATCCAAACTATTAGAAATTTTAAACCTAACATGGAAATTCCTGGCACCACCTTCTACTAATCTTACCTTTCTGTCTTAATGGTAGATATTCTATTAAATGGGAAAAAATAAAACTTAGCAACTTCAAAAGTTTTAGGGAAGATAGTTGTCTGTCTTCATAAGGTTATAAATGCATTTATCTTCACTTGCTCTTTCCAGGTCAAAAAAAAGCAGAACAAACATACAAAAGGTATGACATCATATGTATGTATGTATGTAACAGATGTGGTGAGAGTAACTGCAAACAAGCCAACTGTGCTTAAATATTAAGTGTCACATACGTAAATCAGGGCTGAGTAAGATATCTTTAAGATGTCCTTGTGCTCTGTTCTCTAAAAGACAAATTCTAGAACTCCTAGCAGGAAATTTCTATGGAGGCTTTTGGTGCATTACTTAAACATATCTAATTCACAGTTTAGAATGGTTTGGGTTGGAAAGGACCTTGCAGATCATCTTGTTCCAACCCCTCTGCCACAGTTAGGAACACCTTCCACTAGACCAGGTTGCTCAGAGTTCCATCCAGGCTGGCTTTGAACACTTTGGGGGAAGGGGGAGCAAGCATCTGATGATATATTTTGTAATGAATAAATAGCTTTTTCCCAGTCACTTACTCAAAACTTTTTGATCATATTGAGAGTGTTCAATTTGTTACTGGGATCCTGTCTCTCATCTTTGGGAAAGCTTTGCTAAAGATGCTAAAAATTCAAGTATCCCAGATTATTCCTATGGGGTTTTTTTTTGGAAAGTGTGACTTGAAATATCATTGTAGTGAAATGCCTAAGAGGAAAGTGATCATGTCATTTTTTTATTAGAAGTATGTTAAAGAATCACTGATTAATTACCTAGAATGCACTTCTGTCCAAGGGTTAATGAGGTTATACTTTGGAAAGTTAAAGCTAGACTAATTCAGACAGGATTAAGAAAAAAAAATCCAGCAGTTGTAGCTGTAGAGTACTGATCATGTAGTATTGGTACCATTCCTGAAGTGCCAGTTACTGGAAGTTTCTCAAGTTTTGCTTGTTCTTGTCTTTGCTGTTCAAAGACAAGAAAGTGAGTTTGATTCTAAAATTACTGAATAGAATTTTAATGGATTGTTTGGTTATGTAATTATGGTTGTTTTCTGCCTTCCAATAAAGAGCTGGTACACTTCAGAAATATTCATGGCTTATTTTCTACTTGGTATTCAATGAAAACTGAATTTTTGAGAAATTTATTGGTTGTTACCACAAAAGGTAATAAACAGAAGAATGGTGTGAGTTGGAATTGTTTTAATCTACATATGTTAAAAATATGTATGTGAAGTTCTGAAATACACTTGTCTTGATTACAGCTGGTGAAACTGTGGCACATAAACAGAGAGATGGTGAATTTTTCAATCCTGTGCTGAATGTGCAACAGAAACTGGCAGTGAAAAGGATACTGAGTGGTGAATGTCGCCCAACACCTTATCTTCTCTTTGGACCACCAGGAACTGGAAAAACAGTAACAGTAATTGAAGCTATTTTACAGGTAGTGGTAAATGACAAATCAGTCATCTCTAGCCTTTTCCATGTTGGAACATTTATAGTACTTCTGTAAGTACCATCATATTTTTTTCCAAAGGAGTTTTCAAAATACTCCTTTTTAAATCATTTTCTATAGCTCAGTAAAAGGAAGAAAATCCATCTTCATAGGGATTACCTATGATTAACCCAGATTTAAATTCTGAATGGCTTATTTTCAAGCCTTTTTGTCTTTAAAACTTCAGTGAACAGTGTCTGCCTTGTGATTCCAGTAGTGCATAATGTATTCATGAGGCACAGGTATACATTAATATGATAACCATTAATTAATTCTGTTGTGGGTACACTCAGTTTGAGAGTATTTAGTCATGACTGTCAGCAGGAGTGTTACTGAACTGCAAAAGCATGGATGGATATCACACATGTGCAGAACTCTCCCAGGTTCTGTTTTCAGTGAAATAAAATGGGAATGTTTGTGCTATTGCTGCTTAAATAACATCTTTATTTAATATCTGTCTTCTTTAATGTAGATACATTTTAGTCTCCCAGACAGTCGGATTTTGGTATGCGCACCGTCAAACGCTGCAACAGATCTGATTTGCTTGAGGCTGCATCAAAGCAATCTCTTAAAACCAGGGACTATGGTCCGAGTTAATGCTGCCTTCAGGTCCGCAGAGGTAAATATTACAACTACCTGCCACTTAATATTTCCATTTTAATATTTTTACCTTAAAATACTGATTCAGTTACAGTTTTAACTCTGAGTGGCTATGAGCCTGCCTAGGTTTGCTTAGGATCCAGAGTATTACATTGCTTCAGCTTTTCCAGATGATTAACTGCAAAATGTTGATCGTAGGCCTTAATTTGATTGTATGAGTATAGGATCTTCACCTTTTTCTTGCTGTGCTTAACTCTACAAACAGCAAGTAGGCATTGGTGGGGATTTTTGCTTTCATTTGTTTTTTGTTATCAGTCCAGGTTAAGATTACTTACGCAGAAAGTAAGCAAGTAGGATTATCATCTCTATGCAGGACGCACACCTTGTGTGTTCATTGCATATATACATACATATTTATACATACGTATATATATTTATATGTATGTATATATAGAGGCATACATTTGTGTATGTGTGTATATAGGTATGTGCACACATACACATATATATGTGTGTGTATATGTAGATGAGTGTATAAAATACCCAAACTGTCCATTTTGGTCCTTAGAATAAAACACAAATGTCTTGCATATATACCACTTTGTTTAATTAATGATCTAAATCTATGTGTTTTGCTCAGCTTTTAAAATAGTTTCCAGAGAGCTTTTCTATTCAAATTTAAAAGTTCTGTTTTAGGTTGGAATTCTGTTTTACCTTTTTGTTTCTGCAGCTAATTGATGATATGGTGAAACCTTACTGCAAAGATGGTGATGATATTCAGAAGGCATTGTGGTCCAGGATTGTAGTTACAACGTGCAGCAGTGCAGGATTGTTTTATCAAGCAGATACCAGGTATGGTACCATAGATAGTAGTATCACTGAAGTGGCTGGATGACACAAACCCCAGAGCTTTTAAAAACTTGTCTGAACTGTAACTTGGGCTGTTTTAATGGTTTACTTCATGCACCTGTATTGTGTAAGAGAGCAAAGCACTTGGTTCTAGGTAATGTTTAAGCAGAAACTTTCTCCATGGTAAATTTAAGAATTATCTTGAATAGTGCTTAGGATTTTTGAAACAATAACTTCTCCTCTGCCACCAGTGGTAATTACATTGCTCTTGACAATTACTTTGGCTTAAAATTATTGCCACACTAAAAACTGTAATGTATTTGGCTTTTATCAAGTCACTGAAAGTTAGGGGTTGTTTTTCCTCTATTTCCTTCTGGAAATACCCATCTTTGCTCTGTGTCTATGGGATTGCCTGGCACACTTGACAAGGATATTTACAGAATAGCTGAGGTCAACCACAGGGTGGCAGAATGAACTAACCTGAAAACAACCCTGTTTCAGGTTAATGTTATTTAATTACAGGCTTGGACATTTCACTCATGTGATTCTGGATGAGGCAGGTCAAGCAAGTGAACCAGAGAGTCTGATTCCTATTGGGTTGATTTCAGAAGCTGATGGACAGGTAGTTCTCTTAACATCATTTACTGGAAAGGAAAAAGCTTGTTTATTATTTTCATACTTTGTGGATTATGTAGAATGCAAGAAGCCATTTTTTGGTAATGAGTTTTGTAATAGATATTTTTCATTCATATTAATTTTCAACACTTAAACAAGTTTCTTTACATCTAGAACACATCTGTGTTGATAAGACAGGGTCAGTGTGTGGGAGATATCAAAAGATGTGTTCTGAGGCAACAACGTATCTCTGTTCTTTGCAAACAAATGTTTGAAGGAAAGCAGAATACTTGATATGAATTGATCTCTGAATTCTGAAATGTGTATGTCATTATAAAATGAAGCTACAATAACAATTGTTTTAATCTAAGGTGGATGTTTTTAAATTTTGTGTACAGATAATTCTCGTTGGAGATCCAAAGCAGTTAGGGCCCCCAATAAAATCTAAACTTGCACAGACTTTTGGATTAAGTATGTCCTTGCTGGAAAGACTGTCATCAAGAGAGCTATATCTGAGAGATGAGGATGCTTTTGGTGCCTGTGGAGCATACAATCCCTTGTTGGTGAGTTAAACTTTTTCAGCTCAGTCAAAAAAGAAGTTGTGGTTTCTTACCACTGTTTTTCTCACTGATACTTACTGATAAGTCTAGCTTGAACAAGCTAGAGTTTCTAGTTCTCTAGAAAAGCTTGATTGTTTTGCATATGTAGTCTGAATAGTAAAGATGCTGAGGCCTCCAGCATGTTAAAACTTTTCTCTGAAGGGATCCTCTATTCTTAAGTAGCATTAGTCAAATATGGTGCACAAAGCACAGTTGTAAATAATAGCTTAAAATTCCCTTTCATGTTCACTGTCCAGATTTCCATAGCTTCATTTTCCACAGATGAAAAAGTACAATTTCTGCTTTTAACATAAAAAGACAAACAGAGTCTCTTCTTTGAAGTTTAGTTTTGCAAACATGTTTCACAAAGGGAAGAAGATAAACTGTTCTTATTTCTTTATCAAGCCTTCCTTTGAAAGACAGCTTCCCCAGATTCTTGTATGGGCAAGTACCAAAAGTCTGTGTTAAGTGGCAGAGGTAGCATGGTGTTTAAACAAGTACAGATATTTGGGCTGCTTTTAATTACTGTCTGAATTCAAAATAGGTCTGATGTTAAGCTTCCTAAGATGCCTTCTTATACTTATGATAACATACTTCAAAGAATTAAACTGAGAGCAAAAGATGACTAGATGACCATGGAAGTAGAGAAGAGAGGAAATTTGATGGCAGATTTAAGGGTGAAAGTGAGGGTGTTTGGACCTAGGCTTTAGGTCAGGTTCAGCCTCCTGAAAAGCCTGTCACACTTCCTCCTAAAATCTGTTAGCACAAACTTTGGTTTTTGTGTTCCTTACATAGTGCTTCAGGAGAACTGGCATAGTGAGAAATCAGAAAATTTGAGGGCTTTAAGGATATGTTCTGACTGGAATATCCTATGTTACCCTTTTTACGGGACTGGGTTTTTTTGAGCTGGTTATTAGTTTCTGGAATGCTTCCTTAAGACTATTCTTTCATTTAAAGACAAATACATTTTAGATGTTCTAAGGCCAGCTTCTATCACCTGTTCTGATGCTCCCTTTTTGCCTGTTAAGACTTCTTCAAAAGAAGATACTACATCCATTGAAACTCCATTGAAATAATCTGACACTTAAGAAAAGAGGATGTGTCTATACATCAAATGTTTCAAGAAGCTGGAGAATGACCCATTTGCCTGTCATCTACATTCAATTCTCTTTGTTTCCTCTTTGGAGGGCAAGGAGATGGTCCTTAAAAAAAACTGCTTTGATGTACTTTTTACTTACAGAATACCACAACTGCAGTTTTTGCCTTGAATACAGTTCTTTGGCAGCCTTAGAAATGCTAAATGCTAGCAGATGGTAAGGCAATAGCTGTATTCTGAGAAGTCTGATGAATAATTACCTGTTTCAGTTAAGGATTTCAGGTTTTGTCTTTGCAGATCACTAAACTCACGAAGAACTACAGGTCTCATTCTGCGTTGCTTGCCTTGCCGTCTAAATTGTTTTATCATAAAGAGCTGGAAGTTTGTGCAGATACTTCAGTAGTATCTTCTTTGTTGAATTGGGGGAAATTGCCCAGGAAGGGATTTCCATTAATTTTTCATGGAATAAGGGTAAGTAAAATGTTCATACAGTATAGGCTTGCTAGCACTTTGATGATTTCTTTAGAATAAAGTCTAGAAAGGATGTGAAAAAAGGTTAAACTGCCTTTCACAAGTAGCGTGACTTCCTGACCATCTGGTTTTAAAACCAGATATTGAAGTCAAATGTTTGTTAAGAACTTGAGCAGCTACCTCTTGAAGTGCATTGTGAAGACATTTTCATACAAGTTTAAATTCATAGCAGATGACTAGACTGGAGTTACCATCAGCTGCTGTAGATTGCTTTTGATGAGAGTTCCCCACATTAAGGTGGATACAAGCCTCTAAAACTAAAGGACCATTAGAGTTTAATTTAGCAGAGGAAAAAGTAGTATTTTGGAAAAAAATTTTTCTTTAGTGTTCCAAGAAGTTAGTAAGAAGTGGTAATATCTGCTGCTTGGAGAGGCTTGCTTTAGAACTCTTCCACCTTGAAAAAAGCAAGACACCCGCTTATTAACGTATGTTATTCTGAGTTGAGATTTTACTCCTTTGCTGCATACTTAAAATACTGTTATTATATCAATTATATTTATAAATGTATAAAAAAAATAAAATGTGAGGTGATACTTGTTCTCTAGAAAAGGTGTATAAAGAGGAAGAGAAATTATATATAACATTCCATCACTTTTTTTGCATTCAGGAGGTATGAGAATAATGTATTAATAAATACATAGTCATTTCCACACCTGATCTCCATCATCTCATTTCCTTTTCCCCCATTACAGGGCAGTGAAACTCGTGAAGGTTGCAGTCCTTCATGGTTTAATCCAGCTGAAGCAGTTCAAGTAATGATGTACTGTTGCCAGCTGGCTAGAAGTGAATACTCTGCAGTCTCAGTGACAGATATCGGAGTGATTGCACCATATCGTAAACAGGTATAATGTTTAACAGGTCTGATGTCTTAAGAAAAAAAGTTGCTGTACTTCATCTCATGTATTTATATGGTGGCTGTGGTTTGTTAAAGCACAGGGGCATATGCTAAAATTTCACTGTTGTGTATCATGATACACAGTGTATTATCAATCATTATGATGCTGCAGTTGAAATCTAAAAGGCAGGAATAATGGCATCCTACTGGTTTTTGAGTTTTAAAAATCAAGCTATTGAGGAAACCAGTTTGGAAACAGAAGCATATTTTTGAGTTGTTGGAAGTAATGAGTGCAAGTCAAGAATTCATTATCCAGCTGCTGAAACAGCAGTCTGGTTCTATCGTGTTCTGCAGTGAAGACTGGAACAAAAGCAAATTATTGTGAAGTAGATAGTGTGACACCTTGTTGTGGTCTTGAGGAGACTAGAGGAAACAATTACTGTGACTTCTTAGCTGTCCAGTAATCAAACTTGAAGTTTGTAATGTTATTTAAACCTCTAGAAAATGTTCAACATTAACTTCAAATGCTGTGCTTTATTTTTAAGTGTATTTATATCAAGGTGTGTTAAGTACCTGATGTTTACTTTCATTTTAAAAATAAACTTAATCCCCTCTCAGTTGCAAAGGAGATTTTGGACAGTGCACATAATTCATCTTGATGTTCACATCTCAATGTTCATAACCTTGTACCTGTGGCTTGGGAGAAGCACTGAGGCACATGAAAAAGACCGAGCCCTTGTGAAGAAATCTCACTTGCAAATTAAAGCTTTGCTTTTATTGATCCAGCTGGTCAGGTGCATGCACCTGCCTGTGTTTACAGTTACTATTTGTTTTTTTCAAGTATGTGTTCATATTATTGGTGTGACTGGATTTCTTACACTCCATAAACAATGATTTCACGTGATTCATTGTGATTTTTGTCCATCTGCCTATAATACAAGGCCTATGATAGTAATGTCCACATTAAGAAAGTCACTTTGTATTGCAGGAACACTGATTAGAAAGTAGTCTTTGACCATGATCTTCAGATTAGTCAGGCAGGATTTCTTCTGAAATCTTTTGGAGCACTTCAGTTATAATCTCTGAGCAACTGGCAGTACAGCAGTCCCACATGTACCAGGATCCCAGTGCCTGAGACTCCTTGTTCTCTTTTTTGGTGGATACTTAAGATCATATCTCACCTCTGCCTTTCAGTCTGCATGATGCACGTGGCAAGCAAAGGTGGAATCTTTGTAGTCTTCTTGAAGGGCTGAGGGAAGCTGCTTGCCCTGCTGCATCTGTGGTACGCATGTTTTTGGATATGATGCACATTGGAAAAAGAGATTTAAGGATGTGAGTTTTTCTTCTCTTTAACATCTGTAGTACTAAAAATCTCTGACCTTCTGTTGAATCTATGGTAGAGTACTCACTCCTTCACCTTCTGAGTTGTGTATTAGCTGTGATACTTTCTTGTAGGAAAAGTTACTACTTTATTTTAAAATCTTACTAGTGAGTGATGGCTCAGTGTAGTCATTCTTTTCAACATTACCATGTTAAGGTACATACATGTATATGTGGTATGGTTCTGGATTTAAAGCAGTCCACTCTCAAATGTAACACTAAATTCCCTCAAACACTTTTTTTTTTTTTTTTTAAATAGGTGGAAAAAATTAGAGTTCTTCTCAAAAGTATTGATTTGGAAGATATAAAGGTTGGCACAGTAGAAGAATTTCAAGGGCGGGAATACATGGTTATCATCTTATCAACAGTATGTAGATTTACTGCGGTCTTACTGAGAATTTTGACATGTGTCTAATTCTCTGTGTTTATTTTTGATATAGGCCTTGAAAAAAATTTAGAAGCCATATTTTTGTCAGTCTCTCATAGTATTTGAAAGCAGAGCTTATTAAGTGCATGATTGTAGAATTATTCATCTCTTCAAAATCTGGATTATTAAAAATCTGTTGCTTTCTGTTTAAATTATGGTGGTATTACTTCACTTTTGTAGCTTGGATGAAGAGTCTGGGATTTTCTCACTTTTTTCTTTCCTGGGGGCAGTGGTACTGTGCTTACTTTCACTGTTCTCCATCATACCATAGCTTTACAATCCACTATTGGATCTCTCTTAAAGTAGTTCTGGGTATGTACTACACCCTTACTTATAAGAACTCATTATTTTGGTCATGAAAATTTTCTTCTTTTAAAAGATAGGTTCAAATATAGATGAAATACAGGTGAAAAACTAATGAGTCATAGTTTAGCACACTACTTGCTTTGGCTGTTTTTCCTATACTAAGTCAAAGCACCCTGGTGAGGTTACTGAAGAAGACATACTGAATTGTCTTTCAACTGAGTGAATTGTTGCAGTAAGGAAATATTATGTTGAAGTTACACTGTGGTATGTTGTGTTCTCATCACTTTATTTCTAAAATTATTCATAATTAATTTTAGGTGCGATCTCAGAAAGTCATAATTGATGATGAAAAACACTGTTTGGGCTTTCTCTGTAACCCAAAGAGGTTCAATGTAGCAATTACTAGAGCAAAAGCTTTGCTGATTGTTGTGGGAAATCCTCACGTACTTGTGAAAGTAAGTTTGGGGTTTATTTCTTTGAATTGCATGTGTTACTTGCCACAGCAGTTGAATGACTTTGTGGTTAATCTGATGTGAGGAAGCGTCCAAATGTTAGGAACTTGTACGTTGTCCTCAGTCTGCATTTGGGAATGCCTGATCTCCATGGGTTCCCATACAAACAGACCGTTCAGGCACACACACAGTAGATTTCCAAGTGCAAGGGAAATGGTGCTCTGTGCATACAAGTCTCTAGCTCCTCTTTCATCTCTAGCATGGAGGCTCAGACCTCCTCTAAAGTTCTCCAGCAGCCTGCAAGTCCAGTAAGCATGTTCTGCACAACCTCACACAATCAGGTTCTTCACAAAATGTAGTTGCATCACTTTTTAAATGGAGGGTGGCAGAAGAGATTATTCCCTATTAATGCAGTGAGTGCCAGAGAGGAGGACTCCTTTTGAACTCAGGCATGGTCCTTTCCCAGGAATAAGTTGAGCTAGTCTTAATATCTCATTTTATGTCTTGACTTCACAAACAACAAGGAAAACGGTGTTTCAAAAATGGTCTGAATGAAAATTTAGTTCCTCCACACCTTATATGTAATTTAGAGCAGCTATAGGTACCTTCCTCGCATGTTTTGCAATACTTGCACCATTTGTAGAGTTCTGTTTCTGGAAAAGGTCTTATTAAATCTCTTACATTCATGTGCTATGTTAATTTGTTTGAAAATTCACTTCACAGCACACCATGATTACAGTTACATATTCATTTTCTCTTGTAGGATCCCTGTTTTTGTGCACTGTTAGAATACAGTTTAATGAACAGAGTTTACATAGGTTGTGACCTGCCCGCTGACCTGGAGCGCCTGCAGAAGTGAGTGTCTGGTCTTCACTTTAACCTTGCTAGTTATCAATCAGTTTACAGTGTTTTTAGAGCTAGCGTAATTTGAAAGATTGATCAGCACAACAACCCGTGTTATCATAGTGGGATTGGATTTCGCATTCCTAAGTAAACATTATGTAAACATAATGACATGTAATGTAGCCCTGTTTTCTCCCACCCCATAAGAGAGTCTGAGCACTAATTATTAAATAAGAGCTGTTGTTGACTTTGGTATCTTATGTATCCTCAAATGATAATGGCATATTTGATGATAATAAGGTCGAGGGTACAGCAGAAGTACTTAAGGTGATTTCACTGTAATTAAAAAACAAAGTGCTTGAAACTGAATTTAAATATGTCCCTCCTGATAAGATGTAATAAATACAGTGTTCAATGCTTATTATATACTAGATAATACTAATTTTTTTTAATCAAAACTGTTGTTTATGGAAAGGTAAGCAAGATCTTTATGTTATTCCCTTTTACTGACAGGTGTGACTAGTTTCCTTGGTATTCAAGATGCATTGAAGAGTTTGGTATTCGTCTGTTATGAAACTAACACTTACTCAGTCCTGAGAAGATAAAGCACTTTCTGTCCTCAGGGACAGGCACATGTTCTGAAATGGATAGAAGTTTATGTAAACAAGATTTTTTTTTTTAAAGAAGTGAAAAAGCTGAAATTAATAGTATAAAATAGTAGTGGCACCTTACTAGATTTTCTGTTTAAAGTGTGTATTACTGTGCCTCTACAAAGAGCAGTATGCCTGAATCCTCCAGGCTTCAGGAGAAAAGTATTGAAAGACTCCTACATCAACTTTACCTTATTCTATAATTGTTTCAGCTTCTCAGTTTTCTCAGACTCATGTAGTACTGCCTAAAACTGGACTGTCCCAAGAACACAGATGTGTGTGTCATTGTTGTGGGGGCATTACAGTAATATATCTACCATGTGAACTGGAATGATACATTAAATATCTCCGTTCAACTGATATTCAGTACCTTAAGCCAAAACCCTAGTTCCAGTTTTTGAGGCCTTTGTATATACAGCTGAGATCACACAGCGTGTTCTTGGTTTCCAGTGTAGTTTAGCCATCTGCTGCGGTGTGTGTCAGAGCAATGCCTTAAGTGGCAGGTTAAAGAAAAAGAGGAAATGTAAACTGTGTTTTGCCTTTCTGTAAATGTGCTATGGAATAAAGTATCGTGTTTTATTTTGGCAAAATTATAGGTTAGCAGTATTTCTGCTCTTGGCTTAATTTGGCACTGTGCTTTCCCATTAAACAGTATTTTTCTCTTTTCCTTGTCCCCTCCTTAGTGATTAAGTCTTGCTACACAGCATTTCAGGAGTAGCTCGACAATTAGACATTGTGTTTAAAATGGCCAGTACAACAAGATGGCTTTCTGTAACAAACAGAAGTGTGTTAGATAGGGATATAGGCTACAGAGAAACAGATGAAGGAGAGGGGAAAGATAGGAAGCTTCTGTTGGCCTTGCTTACAGTCCTGTTGTATCATTTCCATTCCTGGTATGCACTGTGCTTCTCTCTCTTGCAGTGCACAATATGCAGATACTGCAATTTACATGCACTCTTCGTAAGGAAAGGTAGTAGTATTGAATCTGCACATGGATGCCTAAAGGTGCTGTTTGGCTGGTGGCTGAAGGAGCTGGATGGTGCTTTGTGGCTTCCCAGATCTTTAATAAAACCACACAGGTGATAATGCAGCAGGGAGGTCCATAAAACATACCCTGTGTGTCAGGTCCTAACATGCTTGCGCATGTCTTTATTAGCACACAGTAAAGCTAGGGCCCCACAAATTGTTTTGCTTCAATAAAAGCCTCTGGGGTATTTGGTGCTTTTTTGTGAACCAAGAGAGCTCTCTGTTAATGTGCCTTTTAGTACAATGATGCTTAGCAGAAGTGCGTGTTTTCATAAGAGATCCATGTATTCCTAACAATATAATACTTGCCCATCTCTGGAAGTGTTCAGGGCCAGGCTGAATGGAGCTCTGAGCAAGCTGGTCTAGTGAAAAGTGTTCCTGTCCACAGAAGAGGATGTAGAACTAGATGATCTTTAACACCTCTTCCAACCCTAGCTATTCAATAATTCTGTGATGCTGTGTCAAACAACAAAACATGTCCCTGTATGAGTACCAGAGAGATGATCCCAGTCACAGACAACTTGGAAGATGATGGCTATCACAATATTTGTGTCTTTAGAGGGCACATAGTATCCAAAAGAACAGTGAAGCTACTGTAACAGGAAAGGGGACAGTGTTGTGCTTCATAGTGAGATTTTTTTTTAAGCAATAACATGTACCATGTTGACAGCATCAAGACAAAATCATACTCCAAAGGACAAGTGCTAATGCTGCAAATTTGTTACTTCAGTTGGTCCTTGATAGCAGAGTGGCCCTAAATCAAGGGAGGGTGGCAGGGCCTGCAGCATGACCTGACAGAGCAGCCCAGCCGGAGCAAGGTGCAGTTCCTGCTACACTGGAAGGCTTCCTCTTGGCACGAAGCAGGTGGCCAGGCCAGCTGGGACAGAGAGCTGAGCCAAGCCCATATACAGCCCTGGCAGCAGGGATCAGGGAGGGCAGAGGCATGAAAATATGCATATTGTCAGCTCTTGGCAATTTGCTGAAAACAGCTTTTGGGAAGTCAAGGGCCTTTGGTGGTTTCCATTCTGTTTCTAAGAGCTGTGCCCTGGGGTAATGAAGATGATGAGGTAGTGAGAGTAGAAGGGTGGTGAAAGTCTCCCTTCTGGCTTCCCTTAAATTAATGAGCAAACTGCCCAGATGGGATGAGTGAGGCAGGAGAGGAAATCCAACATAAACATTCCATTTAGACTGCCTGAAATGAAGACATCCTTTATGTGGAACAGAATAGTGACCAAAAGGCATTTTCACCTTGCGTTATTTCTATTTTGGGAAGGGCTCTCTGCAGATTATTCAGGTCTTGCTGTGGAAAAGAACTGTGCCTGTAGCCCTCCAGATGTGTATTTCCATCCTTGAAATAGCATGCTGGTTTTCATAGGCTCCCTGTCTGCCACCAGTAGTCCAACAGCCTGTGCAGAAAGGGCTGGTGCTGGCATGGGCAGAGCCAGTCAAGTTCAAGACCCAAGGACTTGCTGGTAATAGGTTATAAAGTAGCTGCAATTAACTTTCTCTGGGTGGTCATTAATTTTATTTAAGCTATCACCCATTTTTAAAAACAACTTGTTTGCCAGTCTAATGTGAGATTTCTTCTGAATAATACAATCAAGAGTTTTTTAAGTGTGTTATAGTAGGCACTACTAGCCAGGTAGTAAGTCATCCCAGATATATTCTGTCCTGTTTGCACTGAAAATGGTAACAGTAATATTATCCCTTTTTACTTTATTATATCCAGAATTTAAGTCTTAAAAATGATTGTGTGCTGCAAGCATGTATGGCCTCTATGGCAGTACCCTGTACATGAACCTCATTTGTGTATGGAGTCATTGCTACCACCACAGGAAAAACTAGCAAGAGAAATCTTCAAAAACAAATTTTAAAAATTAAAAAAAAAAAATTACAGCAGATACTCATGGAAAGAAACATTTACCAAAAAAAAAGGGCAGAATTAATTTCTACTGAATTTATTAATAGTAGAAATAAATTCATTACAAGCAGATTAAGGCTATGCTTTATATTGCTGTGTAATCTTTGTCCAGATTAAACTTCATTTGAAGCTGACTTTTGAACTTGAAGTTGGGGTTTAAGTTAATAAGATTTGGTCTGGACTTGAAAACCAATCTATATTGTCCTGCTGCCTGCTTGTAGAGATACCCTAAAATAAGTTACCGTTGTTTCCTCACCATGAGAAATATGAACAGGCCAACATAGTTTTCCCTTTGTTTCTCATGTCCTCCTGTTTGTGTCACTATTTGTACACCCAGGCAAGAGCAGAGTGCTTGCTGCTTTTAGTCATAGCATGCTGAGGAGTAACACTTAGTAAGAATCACCCTTTCATGTACCGTACCTGAAGAAATGGTAGCACAAGTCTGGTGACAGTGGTTTGAGCTGCATCTTAATGTGGTCTCAAATATGTTCCGTCTATAAATGTTGTTTCAGAGAGCTTTAGGAGTAAATTTTCCCATGAACCCTCTCACCTTGCAACACTGTAGGTACATTTTTTTTTAATTTCTTCAATACAGGGAAGTGCTTTAAAATTGCTCTTTACTTCTGTTTGTCCCCAGTGCATCAAACTCCTCATTATTTCTACAAAATAAAATTACATTTGCGGTCCAGGAGCAATCTGTGTTCTAAGAAATGTCTATTTTATTAATTCCTTGTGCTCTTACTGTAAAACAAATTTACCATTTATATTTTTTTATGCTGGGAGTTTTTGCACTGCACTTGTGGCTGGAAACCCATAGCACATCAGACTGTGCAATTCACAAGCCTAAGGTTGCAGAAATTTGTGTTGAAACAAAATTCCAGATAAAATTTGTATCAGCAAGCCTTCTGCTGAATGATAAAACAACTCTTCAGGGACTTACCTCATGTAGTGTGAGGATAGAGCCTATATGCAAAGAAGTAAATTCACTCTTCTCAGCAATGCCACTGAAATTCAGACATTTTCCTAGACAGGGCTGAGTACTCCATGCCCAAAGTGAAATGTAATTTAAATTTTTATCCATCTTGTGGACTTCACAGGGTTTTTGAAACTGCAGAGCTGATTAAGAGTTTCAACTCTCTTTTTCTCCCCACCTCCTTTTTGTGCAATAGGTACATATGTGTGCAGAAAGTCTCACAGTGTGTGAGGAGGAGGTTAATGCAGTACTCTGAGTGCCTGTATGTAAATGTAGACAACCACAATTTCCATGCAGCCAGGCCTGTGGAGCTGTGGATTTACTTACCTCATTTTAAAGACTGGGAAATGCAGAAACGTTGAAGAACATGAGGAATTAAACCATTCCAATTTCTATTTAAAGGTTATCCCAAATATTAGCTTCTAAAAAATATCTGCGTACTGTTTGCATCTGGAAAATTAACTTCTTTCTTACTGAGTATTTCTGATGCTTTGAAATGCACCTGCTTTATGCAGTGCAGATACATGCTCTGTGTAAGGACATTCTCCACTCTCCACTGACTGCAAAGCTAAAAATCCCATTAAAAGCCCAGGAGGTAATATGATTTTCTTTTTTTTTTTTTTTTTTTTTCCCATGTTCAGGAAATGCACTGTCTGTACATCAGTGTGTATTTGCATGCATGGGGCTGAAAACCTTTAAATGATGACTTTCAGTAAGGTACACATTGAGTCTCTTTCTCCCCTTTTACCACGATATTACAGTTTCAGTGTGAATTTTTGAGCAGCTGCTGCCTGTTTTTTGGTACATGTATGCAGTGTCTTGATCCATTAACACCTGAGTGGTTCCATTAGCACAGATAGAATGAGACAGGTACCTCAGCAATTATTCCATCTCACTGACATCTTGTGCATCAGCAGTGCCTGGGGGAGGCACACACCTCCCTGTCCCTGGGAGAGCAAGGAACTACTGCACACCCTCTGCAGAGCCACAAAAGCATTGTGTTTAAAGAAACCATGTAGCCTGATCCAGCTCCTGCTGCCAGCATTCCATGCTATGTATTTCAGATTTTGGTAGTCACTCCTGCTTTCCATTGTGTAATGCAGAGCATGGTTTATACAGCGCCTTGTCTCTTTCTTCAGAAGACAGGCTTTTGCAGGTTTTACTAGCTGACATTCCTTTAATGCTATTTTTTAGTTCAATTTATTTTACTAATCAAAAATGTGTATTTGTCTTACATTCACATAAGAAAATACATTGATCTAATATCATAAAGACTAATTTTCCTTTTGTAGCTTTAGAATCATGGTGAGCAGCTACAGCCCACAAACAGCTGAATGCCCAGGGGCAGCATTATATTTTCTGCAGGTATTACCTGTGTTGCTTGACTTGACTGTTATTTTTTTACTTTACATTTTCTTATTATGTGAAAATGTCATTATATCCTAATTTAATTTTTATCCAGCAGAAGCTTTATGTAATAATATATGCCTCTAACCTTTCTCCATCAAATATCTTTGCTGTTACTGTCATATATCTAGCAGCTTGCAAATAAGCATGAAAGTTATTCATATGTTGTAATTTTCTATATCAAAAAGCTAACAAATACATATTTAATATCTTAGAAAAGCCGTCAAAAGAATCTAGTACATCAAGTAATTATTTCTGAGTATGTCAACCAAATTTGTCATTTTGTCCAACTGTATTTGATACAGTTGTCTTCAAATATGGCTTTCTGTTCCTGGTGCAACTCCTGCTCTTCTCTCTGGTTTCTCAGCAAAATATATCAGTTACAATAAGCTATTGTGACATTAAAGCATGGTGAAGAGCTGGAAAGCTTTCAGTTCTTGCCAGAAGAAAACATGACATGCTCTGACACTCTCAGGGTTAGGAAGAAAGTACATCCATTCCACAGCCTTCATCCCAGGAAGGGGTCTGCCCTTATCTTACTGGTTGGCATTAGTGGTGACACACAGTGTGATCTCTACACAGTGTTTCTCTTCAGGGCAGACTGCATGACCCATAGCTCCCCATGTAAAAGAGGGGCAGAGGGGTGTGCTCCATATTTGATAGAACTTCAAGGTTCAAGCATTTAAGTTGAAAATTGTTCAGATTAACCTTTTAATTAACTCCTTAATAAACAGTTTGCAGAACAGCTGTTCCCTTTATTTTGGTGGGGGTTTTCACATGACTATTTTTGAATAAGCTCCAGTAGATAATGATGGGATATAAAGTATCTCTCTTAATGCAATACATTGATTTGATCTTCTTGCTACTTTCCAAAGAAAATGCTAATTTAGTGTAATTTTATTTTCTGCATCATGATGGACAATTTTACCATCCCTCCTCACTGTCTGCTCTGTTCAGCTCTCAGGGTTTCATCTGTTCCAAGTTTGTATAAGGAACTTTGCCACTTGTCTCTGTCCGGACAAACAAAATGGGTTTGATCCATTATTTCATAAGCTTATAGCCTTAGGCATGCTCTAGCAATAGGGGCTTGTGTCAAAATTAGTATTTCATAATATAAATTCAGAATAATGAGAAATGATGCAACCACTGATATTTACTAGGTGAGTAGTTCAATGTAACCAGGATAATCCTGTAGACCTCCACATTCTTACGCCTAGATTACAGAGTACCCAGTGAGCCCACTTGCTAAGCCATGCACAAATGTAGACCATTTACACACACATGTGCAGTGGTTTCACTTTACTAATGAGAGTATTTCCACTTTTTTAAGTGAGCTGGCTGTGTGGAGCAATAAAATTAAGAAAGTGTGTTGGGTTATAGGAGTGAGGAGGTAACCACCAGAACCTGCAGGTTTGCCAAAACTGACAAAATAGCACATGAATTTAAAAAGTTTTGCCCAAGGCTTCATTCATAGGATTACGAGAAAAACCTGTTATGTTGATAGATGAGAATCCAGCTCTTGATTAGATGTCTTGCATGTAATCTCACCCTAATAGGGGTAACATAGGGGGAACATTCCTTACAAAGCTCAGTGTTTGCAGCCAGGAATGGAGGGATGTGATTTGCAGCTACTGTACAGCATTTAACCACACTGCATCCCCAAAGCATATTTTCTTTCTGGGTGTAGGCATCTTTCCAGATGTAGGACGGACATGAAATGCTACCTGTGTAACATAAGGCCATAGAAGAGGTTTAGTGTGGAAGAGACCTCTGGAAATCACCTAGTCCATCCCCCCTCTTCTGAGCCTGTCCAATGGGGTCTGGTTGCTCAGAGCCATGGACAGTTGGATTTTTAGTAGTTCCAAGGATCCGGAGTCCATAGTTTATCTGGACAATCTCTTTCAGAGTTTGACCACAATCACAGTATTTTTTTTTCTTATTCCTAATTTGAATTTCTACTGTACAAATGTGTCCTCAAAAGAAGGCGAAGAGAAAAATGTTTCTTAAATAAGCTGAAATAAGACAAAGTCAAAAGAAGTTAATCTTGTCTAAACAGCCTTAAGCAGGCAGAAATTCCTTGCAACAAATCTGAGAGAATATGTTTTCAATTTTGGCATATAGAAAGGCTGATAATTACTATCTCTGGATCAGGATAGAAATCATATTATTTCAATGTTATTTTTAGTTTAGTTTGCCTTGTAATAACTTTAAGCATCAAATTTACTTACCATTTTAGCATAAAATCAGTAGACTATTCAAGAGGATGTAAATTACAAAAAATAAGTTTAGTATTCAGGTTTTGAGCTGTAATTTTGCTTAGTTCAAAGTCACAGGAGGCTAGGATGCTCTGAGAGGTAGTCTTAAAATAATCCTAGATAATACAGATGCTGGCAGCAGAAGTGGCAGTCATACTTAATGACCTTGTGTGACACTGCCCAGCACTCCACCTTCCTGGGAACTGGTTCCTGTTCCTTCCTTCGCAGACCAGGCAGGTTTCTTGTCTTTGTCCCATATTACACCTGAGCTACTAAGCCTTATCAAGAGCTTAAGGCTACTGGATGGACAAGAAGGAATTCACAATTTGTCACTTACTTCTGAGCGTTGGGGACTTTGGTTGCAGCAGTGGTTCAGACCCAGCTGCTGGACATGGAATCATGGAACCATTTACATGAGAAAGGTAAAGACCATTGTCATTAACTAAAAAAAAAATACATAATAAATAAAAATATATAATAATATCTATATAAAATACATATTTTAAATGTATAATAATAAATAACAAAACTAATGATCATTGCCATTAATTAATTAAAGAGCACAGCCATTAACTCAGCTCTGTTAAAGTCCACCACTAAAGCATGTCCCTAAGTGATACATCTTCAGCTTTTTTAAATACCTCCACGGGTGGTGACTCAGCCACTTCCCTGGGAAGGCAGTTCCAATGCTTGACAACTCTTTCTGTGAAAAAACTTTTCCTGGTGCCCAGTCTGAACCTCCTGTGACTCAGCATGAGGCCATTTCTTCTTGTTGTGTCATTTGTTGCCTGAGAGAAGAAACTGACTCTCACCTGGCTACAGCTTCCTTTCAGGTACTTGTAGGGAGTGATAGCGTCTCCCCAAGACTCCTCCAGGCTAAACTCCAGCTCCCTCAGCTGCTCCTCTTCAGACTTATACTCCAGACCCTTCCCCCCCAGCTCTGTTTCCCTTCTCTGGACTTGCTCCAGCAGCTCAATATCTTTCTTACAATGAGGGACCCAGAGCTGAACACAGGACTCGAGGTGCAACTTCACCAGTGCCAGATGCAGGGATCTGAAGAAAAAGGTGCAGCTCACCTGGGGACAAAGACCTGGTGCTGGGGATGCTGACTTTGCAGATGCAAACACTGCTGTAGCAGAGAGCCTGCTAGTGCACAGCAAACCTGACTTGGTCAGGACATACTGGGCTGGGCAGGTAACAGGTGCGGAATGCATGTGAAAGTTGTGAGGAGTCTCACCTGTGGCAGATTTTGTGCATTTCTGTCAGAAACAGCAGTCCTACCACAGAACACAGTGTAGATGCTGCCTGCTGCTGCTGCCAGTTCTAATGGGCAAAAACGTATTTCCGCTGTGCTCCATCAGGGCGTCCATGACTCTGATATTGCTCATTGCTTTTAAGAATTTACTCTTTCTCGCATATATTTGAGTTCTAATTTTTTTTGATAAAATGCTGCAAGAATTTTTCCTTTCTCAGTTCTTTACTTCAGTCACTTCTAAGTCTAAGCTGAAACTAAGCCAAAATATTCTTGTGTAAGCTATAGTCAAAGGGGAAAGGATGATTATGAGTTCTTGAATAGTAAAACCAGATATTTTAACTCTTTCTCTTTGTTGCTATATTATTATTAAAAATGGCTGTATTATAAACTTGGCAAAGCACTGGTTTTATTAGGAGTTTTTGTCCAATCTTGTTGGACATATGTGTTTTGGCATCCATGAGAAAATAGGCCTACGTCTGGAAATTAATGCCAGGAAATCTCCATTGGTACATGCCCATTTGCAAACATTAGACAGCAGAAGCCACTGAAGATTGTATTTTAGTTCTGTATTACCTTTTCTGGGATATAAAATGAAGAATGTCACCAGCTGAAGTTCCTGGACACTAAGTCCTTCCAATACCATGTTCAGTTTACACTGGAACATGTCTTTTGGGTAGGTCAATGCCTAAATCATATGCAGGCAGTGTCTGCCAGAAGATGTGACAAAGGCTGCCTGACCCCCACAATTCAATATACAAAAAATAATTGACCTTACAAGGTAGGTAGATTTTAGCAAGTATCCACATATCTGCACATGTGAATGCCAAGTTTGAGACAAGTAAATTGCCTCAGCACCAAGAATGCTGTCATGCCTAACAGGCTCCAGGCAGCAGCTCTCAGTGGTCATGCTGTGCTGTGCTGACAGTGTTGTGGCTGCTGCTAGGAGAAAATCCACCCTCCTCCATGGGAATGCAGAGCTGCTCCCAGGAGGATATGTCCCTGTGGTGCATTGTGAGACTTGTTTTTAAGAGCAGTCTCCAGGGCAGAAGTTTGCTGAGCTGCCAAGGCATATGGCTTTGCAGGGCCTGCACACTGGTTGTGTTTACTGGCAGCTGTGGTTTGGGACAGTGGATCAGAGGGACTGTTCATCATTATGTGAATTCATAGAGTATAGAGACTGAACACAGAGCATACGATAAATCTGGCAAACAAGGCAAATGTTGCATTCGCATCCATCAACACTTCAGGAGCAGCAGAACAAGACACAGCATGGTAGGTGGGACAGTACTGCCTTGCTGACATGGGATGACCAGTAATGGCTCCACAGTGTCTGGAGGATGGTGTGGCTGCAAGGGAGGTACTCCAGCCTTTTGGGGCCATGGAACATGACTGACAACATCCATTCAAGTATTGAAATGAGTTCTCAGCTATTTTACTTTGTAATCCACTACATTTAGGAGATTCAGAGTAGGACTAGCCTCTGCATGTGGAACACAAAAGCAAAATGGCACTGAGATGGAAGTCACCTGGATGTCAAGACTGTACATACAGCCATGACTTGGTTTTTTCACAGTCTGTAACTGCAAAACTAGACTTCTTATACTGATAACTTAGAGATTTTAACATTATGCCTTTTGGGGTTTTTTTGTTTGAGCACTCTTGGGATGAGGGCACTGTTAATCTTTATGGAGTATTTTGTGCCTAATTAATTGTAAGGACTTAGGTAGCTGAGGGCTTTTATTTTTCTTTACAGAGTAAGATATCAGTTAAAATGTAAATCTTTACAATTGCTTTCCTTGGGACGTGGGGATCCCTATAATTGAACTGTATAGATTACTCACTGTTTTCAAGTACAGTAATAATAATGTGTTGGCACAGC